GTCATGTGATGTTCTGCAAAAATCACAACTTGAGTAAAATGAAAGGTGACCAACCGACTTCTTCACTTTTTTTTATTTTTAAGTGGATATTGGGAATTCTAACACCGTTATTAGTATCATTATTATTATTATCATTATTATTAAACTCAGAAAGCAGGGCTGTTCTGAAACCACTTTTGTGACTCAGAAGGCACCCTGTTTGAAAATAATTATTATTGGAAAGGTCTCCCTACCTCTGGAACTGTCTCCTTGCCTCGAATGGTCTTTGTTTTGCATTTCAGGAACTGCTCCACTAATCGACATGGTTTCTTTGTCAGGACCATCCGCCAAGAAAGTGATATGAGGAGAGTCATCTTTTACTCTCGTGAATTACTCTATTGCAGTGTACTGGTTTTTTGAAGTTTGGTTACCTGCTGGAATTTCTCTCAAATTGATGTCATGGCTCTGTCCGGTTTTATCCCGGAGCCTCAAGGACTCGGGCATTAATCCGTACGTTTCTCCGAACCAGAGTGCATGTTTGGCTTTTCTTCTGCAAAGAAATAACAAAACAATACGTTGAATTTCACCAACAGGTCCATATATAATTTCCTAAGCAACCAAATTGTTTACGTTGGCAACAAGAGGGAATTAAAAGCCGACTTACCGTATCTCAGTTAACTGTCTGTTCTGCTGTTTCTTTCCGACTTCTGTAAAGTGTTTACCATTCTGGGCAAGTCTCTGACCCTCTGAATTGTATAACTCGGCGGTCTTTTCTTCAACTGCGGTCGAAAGGTCGTTGTTCTTTTTCGTCACTTTTGCCAACACATCACTTGGTGTTAGCGCGATCTCCTCGGGTTTTATTGTAATTTTAACCCACGTCTCGGCTCGTACTTTTTGCCTCTGTTTACCGCTTGTAATTAAGTCCATCTTGCGTTTAAATCTCCTTATATTTTCGCCGACTGTGCGACCAACGCGGTCGCAGGAGGATTCATTGAGCTTGTAGCCGAGAGGCAGGATGCTCGCCTGAAGTGAATCAAATACTCTACGAGGCATCCAGTAAAACTCTCTGCATTTCCAGGCTGCTTCACCGCTTATTTGAATCATGTAAACTGGATTGCTTTCCTCAAGAAAAGGTGGAACTACTTGTATAAGATGAGGGTGGATCGGGGGTTCTATGAGCTCTGAAAAGAGCTCCCGATCACGATCATTTTGTCTTTGATCATTCATCATCGCGCGGTTTAGTTGCATAAAGCAGCTGATGCGCTAAGATCATTTTTAAAACTCGCGGTAAATCGTCTATTTTACAAATGAGTGGTTTTCTTGAATAGGCCATTGTTTAGTTTTGACAGCCATTGTTATTCAAGCATGGGCTGTCGACAGAAATACCGAAGGTCAAGTATATTCGTTACATGAGGTCACACAACCCGGGTAATATTCAAGATGAAAATGTGCATATTTGAGCGATCGAACGAAAAAAAATTATTTCTTGAAAACTAAAATATATTTTCACAGAAAAAACTACACCACAATTATTAGGACATATTGGGCTATAGAATATAAAAGTGGAAGTAAAAGCGACTTTTGGGTGACTTGCCGCTGTTTGTATAATACACGCTGTCATTAGCTCTTAGGGCCCTGAGGAAGACGGGAAAGGGAATATTCAAAACTCTTCCAAAGCAAGATACTGTAACTATTTTTTTTCCAACATTGTTTTCATAGTCCAATCAATCACACAAATCCTTAAAAAGTAATTATGGCGACACCTCATTGAAACTCTTGTTTTACTTCTATATAATTTCTTTTTTAAGTGATATTTTGGATTTCTCATACTGAAATTTAATGCAGCCAGGTACAACTTTGGGGGTTTTCCCTGGGGTTTCCGGTAACCAGTGTACCCCCGTAATAACGCAAGAGCAAAAAGAGCGGGCGCGGAAGTTAGTGGTGAAATAGGAATCGAGTTTCCGATTAAATAAATCATGTACACCTTGGAATGAGTATGGATGACAGGAAAGTCTTAGTCTATTAGATTATAGATATTTCTGAATTGTTACTTTGACATCAGGTAAAGTAAACACAATGTCGCTGAATGGGGTGATTTTCAACTGAGTCTGGAAAGTAATGCTACTTTGCTTTGGTTTTGCCTTACTTCGCAATATGATTGGTGTAGAACTGAAACTCGCATCATACTTTAAATCTGTCAGATTGAAAATCAAATCCAATCGCGATCTTGGTCACTTGCGTTTTCTAACACTTTGGGAAGATAACCCGTACTTTACTCCTCCTCCTGATTATACTCCTTACTTTTATTTTGGTTTTACAACACTCAACTGAAATGCTTTCTGAGAGAAAACCCAGTTGACTGGGCATATTTAAAAAAAGATATTTACGTTAAACTACTCAATTGTTCTTCGTCTCGTTTCTGATTTATAAAAGACTCCTGTTGATCAAATAACTTTTCGTTTTCCCTCTTACATCTGACACTCCCAGTGGTGCATGTAGCAATACATCGTTGCTTCTCCAGTTGTTAGGGTACCATAGCAAGAGCACTTGTAGGTTCTCTTTCCAGCTGAAGTGGTGCTTGATAATTGAGCAACTTTCGCGTCGTTTGTATCACAGTTTACGCCGATAAAGATTTTACCCTGGCAGAAAAAAAAAACAATATAATTATGATACTGATGATAATGATAAACTACGTCAAGAGTTCGAAAAACGGATGAGCAAAACATTTCTTTCCTCTTCAATGGGTGTACACACGTCGTGACGAAAGCTGACGCCTACAATCTAGACAATACTTATTGTGAGTTTTCCATGCCGAAATCAGAAATCACAAATACAGCTTTCACGTCTAGGAACGTAAGAAGAGAAAAATCCACGTATTTGCTAATACTGGCCTTTGAATGTACGCTGGATTACTGGTTCCCTCAGCAGGCAGGTCGTTCGTGCAAAATCGATTTTTGTTGTCACTTATAAGAGTCATGATATGAAAAAATGATATTTGCAAACGTTTTTTTGTTCCATGACAGGCCGAGGATATCATTGCTCGGTGTGGGATTAGAGAAATAACCATAGATATACTGAAAGGTATGAATTGTGGGAAAAAAACTTAGAAAAAAACATTCTATCTTACATTAGGCGGCAAAATGAACTTGTCCGACAAGTCCGTGCTGAATTACATAACGAGTTGTTAAATGTTTTCTTGTTTTCTTTTCTTTTTTCCTTTGTTTGTCTTTCTTTTTCTTTTTTTTTTTTTTTTTTTTTTTTAAATGATGATGGAGATTTACGACTTAAAAAAGAGGAAATTCGATTTAGCTTTGATTCTCCAAATCGATGCAGGGCGTGAAATTAATTTTTTTTTCTGATTATAAAAGCCACTTAGCTCCTAAATTCTTCAAAGTGGTAGCCAATTCAAAAAAAGTTGGTCGCCATTTTCAAAGACAAACAAAACCTTTTTTTTACGCTGCCATCGTTCTAGAAATTAAGTTTGGGAAAAGATCTTTCACGTGCTACAAAGAGGACACTAGGATGGATAATATGCAACGTTCAAGCTCAACTAAATCCAAGATGGCATCTAGTTATCGATCGAGATGCATGTGCTGCGTTTTGGAAACAAACTTAACGAGGAAGTTAGCCGCGGATTTATCTTTGCTAATCCTTCTAATTCACTATATCTCTAGGTAAAGTAAGAATGAAACATTCTAGTCGCCAATTTGGCGACTAGTTTTCAGGATTTGGATCAGATCACTGATAACCTTCTAAAACCGTCTTTCTCAAGAGCCATCCTGGACATATATTCAACTGTTTCACGGCAAATACATTCGCCGTTCGTCATTTTACAGTTTCCTTACAGTATTTTGAATTTTGTCCGGAAGAATCCGAAGCAGCCTTTCTTTAAGTGTCACGCATGGATCTCTTCGTACTCTGTGTACAAGGTCAGCGAAACGGATAACGTTGGAATTTTTTCACTTTCTAGAAGCGCTTGAGGATTGTAAATGAAGGTGGAATATTTTTCAACGAAAAACTAGCTAGTATATTTCAAAGAGAAATATGGAGTTATTTGAGGACCGTGTCCAGCCGTGTCATTGAAAAGTTTTTATGTGTCAAGCGCTTGGATGGCTTCATACTCTGTATACAGGGTTAGCAAAAAACATCAAGTTCGAAATTTTAGGCTTCCTGAAAGCGCTTGGGGATTGTAAATGAAGGTAGAACATTTCTGTAGAAACATTTTTTTGATTTCGAAGAGAAATATGGAAAAATATCGGACTGCCGGACGTTTAATTATTTTAAGTTTAGTCACTTAATTGCAAGAACGTCAGCGACACAACAAGGATTGCAAACTTCAATTTAAAAAAATTGATGAATGAATGAAAACGTGCGCGTGGTGGATCAACATTTTCACCTTCTTCGAAATGCTCGCAAAGATTTTCGCGTTCCTCCTTAGCAACAACCGAGCCATAAACGTTTACTGCCTCCGAATCTACTAAATCAATGGATTCATCTGATTCCATACCTGATTAAAACGTATAGAACTGTTTTAGACAGAATTGTTTTGATAAGCTCTTCAAATTCATCGGAGAAAACGCAGAAGGTATTTTGAGACGTGTCAAGGTAAACAAAAGCGACCGCGTCGCATCAAGGTTGGAAATGGGCCCTTAATATGTCGTAAAGTAATTTTCAATAGAAGTTTTTTTTCCATCAGAATCAAAAAACTTTCACAATCTTCAACTCAACTTACATTTTGTTCAGTCGCTACAATTTCTTGTTGGGCGAGCGAATTTGCTGCCATACCAGTGCTGGATAAAGTCTTAAAAACACAGGAACTGGTCCCAGGTCCAGGTGGACCCTGGGTACCATTGAACCCAGATGGTCCACGAAGACCCTGAACACCAGGTAGTCCAGATCGTCCTGCAGGGCCCTGAGTGCCATTAAATCCTGGAGGTCCGGGAGGTCCAGCAGGTCCGGCAAGTCCAATGTCACCCTTTGTACCATTATATCCTGCAGGTCCGCCAGGTCCGGCAGGTCCAGTCCAGTGTCCCCATTAGTACCATTAACTCCAGGTGGTCCTCTGATGCTCGTGCTGCCAGTAGTATTTTTCACCTACACAATTAAAAAAAACCAACAACAATGATATTCACAGTAACCACTGCAATAATGATAATAATAAAAATGATTACAATTGTAGTGATAATGACAATGAGCACAGTAACAGTGAGAGTGACAGTGACATTGACAGTGAAAGTGACATTGACTGTGACAGTGAAAGTGAGTGACAGTGACAGTGAAAGTAAAAGTGAAAGGGAAAGTGACAGTGGCAGAGACAGTGACAGTGATAATGACGGTGACAGTGAGTGACAATGACAGTGAAAGTAAAAGTGAAAGGGAAAGCGACAGTGGCAGAGACAGTGACAATGATAATGACGGTGATAGTGATAATGACGATGACAGTGAGTGACTGACAATTACAGTAAAAGTGAAAGGGAAAGGTACAGTGACAGTGGGAGTTACTGTAACAATGAAAGTGAAAGTAACAGTGACAGTGAGAGTGGCAGTAACAGTAACATTGACAGTGATAGTAACAGTGACAGCAGCAGCGATAGTGGCAGTGACAGTTAATTTGACAGTGAGAGTGACAATGACAGTAGCAGTGAAAGTGACAGTGGCAGTGACATTGAAAGTGAAAGTATCAGTGACAGTGAAATTGAAAGTGGCAGTGACAGTGTATGTGACAGTAAAAGTGAAAGTGATCATGACAGTGACAGTGACAATGAAAGTGGCAGTGACAGTGACAGTGACAGTGGCAGTGGCAGTGGCAGTGACAGTGGCATTGGCAGTGGCCCTGCCAAAATGGGAGGCTCTAATGTGAAAAGGTGTCTAGAAGGAAGCCAACATTGACTTAAGTTGGTTGTAAGAAATGCACAGTTTTTTGGTTTTTTTTAAAATTTACATTGGAGACCTCTACCATGCTTATTTGCTCAATGTTGGATTTGCGAACTATGGAGTTTTATCTCTTTATAGTTTGGACTGATGATGGAATGGTCACCACAGATCAATTGATCTGTCTATAGGCTTATATCACACCATCCCTTATCGTTGATACATCTATACCTTAAGTCAATGGTCAAGATATTTTTAAGGCTAAGTTGAAGTTAATCACAATTGTGGCATTTTCAAGCATGAAATTAGATACAAAAAAAGTATCCCCTGCCATTCCACAGATATTAAATACATGTAAACAGGTCATTTTGCAAAACAAATTTAAAATTTGCTCGGGTAGTCTTGCTTGAATTTGAATGTTCAACACTGACTCTTGCAAAAGGTGATGGGCTATATGTTTGACAATCTTCGAAAATCCTCTTTAACTCATGATGGAAAACAGTCTCTGTTTTTGCATTAGGCTTTGAGGCATATGTGTACCATGTACTTTGTGATGACCATTAGGTAGCTTAACTTTAAGTGAAAGAGACCATGATATTGTGCAGCTTAGGGCAGTGACTTGGCACTGCAAGATATCTCAGATCAGGTCTCTGATTGGTTGATTTGAAATTTGGTATGAAATGGTACACAAAAATACATTCAGGTATATGTACCTTTTGATCCAGTTGCATGATGCTTTGTTGAAAATGTAGAAACCTCTCATTTACGCTTGTGTTTAGACCAATCAAAACTTGTGCAGCATCCTGCACTGTGAGATGGATATCCTCTAGCTCTGTATTTTTGCCCTAAACAATTAAAACAGACCAAATTACTGTGTTAGAGAATAAGTGGGCCTACTAAAGTTGGTAAAATAAGTAGAGCAGTCCACATTTTGCTTTTGAACATAATGATGATAGGGACTGTAACAGTGAGAGATTCAGATAACAATACATTCTTAACATTGGTATTGAAACTTACCTCGTTTTTCATGTTTTCCAAATCTTTTTTCACCTGTCATAAAGTAAGAAACTCGTGTTAAACACAGTGCACTAATAGTAATTTTTTCCTTATTTAGATAGAACTGGAAATGGATGAATTTAAACTTGCCTTTATTGTTAGCTCCTCCAACTCTACTGAGACCTAACACAAGGATGAAAAGAAAAGAAACTACTCAACATCATGGATGATTCATTTTTCTAATGAATGGTATATTCTTAGTGATGATTTACAATCATTATCATTATTGTTATTATTAAGATTAGGATGATCATTATGATTATTAGAGGTGAACGAATGGCAAACTTATGTTTTTCTTCAGTTCTTTTATAACCCCTGAAACCTATAACAATAAAAGAAATGTAAATCAATATTCCTGATTGAGTTTCTTTGTACATCAACACTTTTGTGTGATTTCTTATTCATAATGATCTGAGGATGATGATGGCTATAGAGGTGCGCAATTTGCATGATAAGGTTTGGACCTACTATGCTGCCAAAGATGGTTCAAAAAATTAGGAGAACACTGGTAATGTCTGGAACAATGACACCCAAGAGGACCTATAGTAATGTTTATCAGGCTCCCCCAGGCACACAACAGCCTGATTAGAAATAACATTTAGATCACCCCATTGAAAAAGTTAAAGCAGAAGAAGTGTACTGTTGTTAATACAAAAATGATGCCTCTAGCCTACGCTCCAGGGAAGTATTAAAGCTCTGTTTAAAATCTATATTTCTGTACCATATTTACTAATAATCAGCAAGTTAAAAGTCCTATTGAGGCCCTCAGTATTATGTACATAAAAGTACTCATGTATTTTACGTTAGTGCACTGTTGTTTTTAACAAATCACTGCTAATGATTAAGAATTACTCCTACCGCGTAGTCTCTAAATGCAGAGAGGTTCCTTTCAACTCTTGCACATTCTTTTGAAGTTCTGACGTTTCTAGAAAAGGGGAAACAATAAGAAAAACATAGAAAATGTAAACAAAAAATGATGAAGTATTTCACATGAAATGATGAACAGATGGATAAGTAGATAAAAGATAAAGCAATTAACACATGTTGAAGTTTGATACATTGATTAGTAAATGTTGACACCGTTCACCAAACATCTTTTAATACAATAAGAGAGAAATAGGACCAACTTATTCTTGAACTATTGCAAACAAGTAATCACTATCAAGAGAATTATTTGTTCATCTCTCAAAAATTTGGTAAGCAAAAGGCCTTTTTTCCTGCTTGTTATATGTAAACGATCTTTCTAAGTTTGTGCATCATTCGTAAGGAAGAAGGTACATTGTATGTCTGTAATAACAGCACTACATTTACGAGAAATAATGTCGAAATTCAGAAGAAATAGAAGATTTCGATCTGCACCTGGAAAAGAGCCGATTATGGCTTGAAGCATTCTAGGTTCCTTCGAATTTGGCAATAGTTTGTTAGTAACGCTTCACCCGTCGAATTTTGGATAAGATTCTGACAAAATTCTACGCTGAAGTCCTGAAAAAAATGGAAGAGAATTCGAAGCCTACTCACTTCGCATTGTGGAGGCATCACTCGACAGGTATCTCCGCCGAAAATATAATTCGGCATCCATCAGCGAGCAAAATGTCAGAGATGCCAAGGCCAAGAAAATTTGCCCAACAGAGCTCAGCCGTACACTGACGAGTAGACGAAGAATTATTTTGGAGTGAAGGAAAATTTGAAAGTCACAATGGTGTTGCCTTTACAAACGTCATTTTAAAAATCTGGCAGATTATTTGGGTTTCAGAGGCCGCTAGGACTATTACAACGCTTACGTTGAAGATTTTTCCATTTTGCAAATGGCAGCTGGTAGCAAACTTGTTCAGTCTGAAGAAAATCTAACCAAAACCAGGCAAGGCGGATTGAGAAACAAAACCCGAAGTTCTCTTCGGCAAACGCGGTCTACCAACGGTGGTGAATGGGATCTCGTACGGCTTTGCGAAGAGTGGCTTGCACGTCGACCCCGACGAATTAAAAATTCCGGCCCTCTGTACTTTGAAATTGTTTCTAGCCCCTCCACAGGTGTTGGTTGGCCAAATCGAGAATGGGTGAGCATCGAATTAGCCAAATAATGAAGTCAGTTGCAAGTTGTTTACGAGAGGAGCGTGCCAAGAAAACAACAAACCATTTCACAAAAAAAAGAAAAACGATCGTTGCGAAATTAAAAATAGCAGGCCAACCACTTCATAAAATCATCCAAGTAACTGGACATACCAGAGAGTCCTCGCTGCATGATTAGGACCAAACAACGGAGAGCAAACGAAGGTAATTGTCTCCTATAGCAAGCGGGTATGCCGCAACATCGACTTTATCAGCGATAGTATAAAGGTCGATCGCCGGCAATTATTTCTTCCTCTTGTCCAGGCCCAGAAGATATAAACGTAAAGGAAAACATCCCAGCTAATCCGTAGAAAAAGTTGTAATGCTTTCTTTTGTTTCTTAAGATAGCTGTAGTAGATGTATAACGATTGTATTTTCAAACTTACTAGACGGCGCGAGTTTCAAAATTGAATGTAATTTTTGTTCCTTGGCCGTAACGCCTGGTTGATTATTAAATTGTTAACACTTGAACGGTGGACTGATTGGTTGTTGCTAAGTAATCGTTTTGCTTGAGTGGTTTTAGCCTTTAGTTTTTCATCCTTGTTTTAAAAGCCGATTTTAAACGTTGCATTTCGCTTTTGTCGAAGATTTTAATGATCATGTTTTGAACAATCATGTTTTTTTGGTTCATTTTTTTTCCCGAAATTTTAATTTGCAACAGGACTTAGTGTCGACCAATTCTGTCGGTAATGTTACGAATGATTGACAATCACTCTTATGATTACACACCGAATTGAACTCCACTCGGTCTGTTACCATTTTTAATTATCTACAAGTCGTGCTTTTCACTAATGATATTATTTTATAACCTCATCTTTTTTCAGATATTATTACGCATATGGTTAAAGTTCTCAATTCAATGACTCGGAGCGTTTGCGTTACTTACAATGTCTTCGGCCTTTGCATACTTCATGATACTAACTTAATGTTAAGTGGCTCACATCATTAGAAATCCTATACTAATCACAAGTGCGGGGAACGCTCTGGTAAATAAAGGTCCAATATGCAAAACTCTGTACGAAGTTCTTCAAGAAATTAATTTTTCATTCGGGAGTAGAAATTTCTTATGGGAGAGTGGTCTGTTGATAAATTGGGCGTTTTACTAAAAAAAAAAAAAAAGGTTTTCGTTGACCCAGTTTCGTGGAATCTTAACAATAGCAATACTCAAATCATATCGAAACGGAAGTTCCTCTAATTTCCTCTTTGTACAGGAAATTGTCAGGACCGAAGTGAATTATTTCTTGCTTCATCCTGTCGTTTAATTAGTGCCCTTTTTCCAATCAATTTTAAGATTTGAATGGATGAAGATCTACGAGTGTTTACTTAAAACAGGGTGAAGTAATGGTAGCCGTACCTGTGGAAACTTCGCTCCGTGTCGTCATGATTGCCACATCTAAAACCAAAGTGGCAAGGGCTGTTAAGAGCGAAGCAACAGCAATGGCTGATACGATTTAGAATAATGGGTGCTGTTTCACTGTATAAGAATCTTTACACAGCTGTGTTTCCACCTTCGGCTTTGCCTTAGGAGTGTCCTCTCTGAAAACTAAACCGTCACACGTTTCGGCGTGATCTTCTTGTTTAGATTCCGTTTCGAAAGAAACGTTCATCCGCCCGACTTCGGTCTTAGTATCCATTATTGGGTGTTATGATTGTGCCTCTTGTGGAGCAGATCAACTTTAGACGCTTCTGGAGGCGAAACAAGCCTAGGCAAGCAAAAACGATGCTGAAATGCGATGCGATACGATCATATGATCAACACTGACTGATGATAGAGCGAAGAATGACTGATGCGTAAGCTGTCTTAAAATAGGATGATGACAGGAAGTGTTTGTTTCGACGTAAGTTTATAGATTGTGCAATAAAAGATTTAACTGACCTTAAATGATGATGAAAGCATTATTGAACAAAATGATTATGCTGTCTTGATAGTTATATAGGTCATCACTATCGACCCCACTTTCCAGTGTATAGTGAGATATCAAGGTAGAAGCAGATGAGGTATAGAGGGTTTCCTCTTGATGTCCTCTTGATGTTTTAGTCTTCAGTAGGCTGAAGTCAAACCTAAACTAAAACTTTCCTTACCTTTAATGATCCACTGGTTTCGTAGAGGCCAACTTTGATTACATTTAATGCTAAGGTAATTTGACAGGTGGCATGGAATATTTTCCGAAATAGCTACTTTCAACTTCAACTGAATGCTATAAAGGCGTTGAGAAGGATGGGAAAGGAAGTGTTCGGAAACTTTTCCAAAGCAAGATACTGGTACCATTTTTTCAACATTGTTTTCAAAGTCCCATCAATCATACAAACCCTTACCTATGGCGGCACCCTTTTTTCCCCTTTTTTAAGCATAATGCAATACAAGGCAATTTCAAATGCAGTCAACTGTTTTCGCTCTCGAATTAAGCATTTTTTGATTGTCTAAAGCTGAGCTTTTTTTCTTTCAAAGGGTTGGAGCAGAGAGATGGATTTTGTGGTTTTGCCCTGGGGTTCCACCTTTGAATGAGTATAAATGATAGGAAAGTCTTAGCCTATTAACTTTGATATCATGTAAATTAAAGACAATGTGGCTAAATAGGGTGACTCTCGACTGAGTGGGGGAAGTAAAGCTACTTTGCTTTGATTTAGCATTACTTCACATTGTGATTGGTCTAGAAATCTCGCACCATCCTCTTTCTCTCGCTTTGAGAAGAAAACCTGTTTTTACTTTTATTTTACTTTGATTTTGGTTTTACAACACTCAACTGAAATGCCCTCTGAAAGAAAACCCAGTTCACGGGGCATATTTGAAAAATAGTATCTACGTTAAACCACTAAATTGTTCTTCGTCTCGTTTCTGAATCAACACTGTATTATCTTCTTTACAGAGAGTCCTGTTCATTAAATGGCTTTATGTTTTTCCTCTTATGACTGACATTCCCAGTAGTGCATGTAGCAATACATCTTTGCTTCTCCAGTTGTTAGGGTACCTTCGCAAGAGCACTTGTAGGTTCTCTTTCCACCTGCGATGATGCTTGATAATTTAGCAACTTTTGCGTCGTTTGTATCACAGTTTACGCCAATAAAGATTTTACTCTGGCAGCAAAAAAAGACAATAATTATGATTCTGATGATACTGATAAATTACATCAAGAGTTCGAAATGTGGATGAGCAAAACATTCCTTTCCTCTCAATGGGTGTACACACGACTTGACGAAAGCCGACGACCACAATCTGGGGAATACTTAGTGTGAGTTTTCCATGCCGAAATCGGATATCACTAATACAGCCTACACGTCTAGGGACGTAAGAAGAGAAAAATCCAATTATTTGCCAATACTGGCCTTTAAATGTACGCTGGATTACTTGTTCCCTCAGCGGGCAGGTCGTTCGTGTAAAATCTATTTTTGTTGTTACTTATAGGGCGAGATACAGATTCATTAAAGCCGGTGTAACGAATACTTTGAAAAACTGATATTTTCAAACGCTTTTTTGTTCCATTTAAAGCCGAAGATATCTTTGCTCCGTGTGAGATTAAAGACATGACAGGACGGAAAAACGCGTGGAATGTAAGTACCTACCGTTGTCCCATACAAAGCCTTAGAAAACTTTTCTAAGGCTTTGTATGATTAAAGCATTATCCGTCCTGTCATGATAAACGTAGATACAATGTAAGGTATGAAATTTTCCGAAAAAAAGAACACTTTACCTTATATTTGGCGGCAAAATGAACTTTTCCGAAAAGTTCGTGCTGAATTTCGTTCTTGCCTCGAAACAAGTTGTTAAAGTTATGAAATAGGTTGTTGTTCATCGTGGTAGTTGGATGATATTATAAGTTTGTTTTGTTGTCTCGCGACAAGGTCACTTGATGTGGAACACAACGTTTCGACTGCTCACTGCAAGTCTTCTTCACGTTGTGGCACGGCATTATATATCATGGTGGTCTGTTGTGATTGGTGCATTTCGATCCGGCTATTGTTTCCATGTACCATGGTTTCCTCAGGCGTTCGCTGGTTTTTCGTGCGTCGTTGGTTTAGATGTTTCCTTTTTGTAGGCATCCATGCTTCCGGTATTTCGGCTCCGCTGTCCCTGTTTATGTTATTTGGATTGAGTCTTATGTGAATTGCCTCCTTCACTTTCCTTGTGTACCAGTGGCTTTCTCGGGCAATGAGCTTGGTTTTGTTCCACACCGGCTTGTGTCCGGTTCCGTTAGCATGTTCTGAAACTGCGGAATTCTGAGTGCGTGCGAGTCGTATATTCTTGTCGTTCTCCTTCATTCTTTCTTGCATGGGTCGTCCTGTTTCCCCGACGTAGACTTTGCCGCATGTGCATGGTATCTTGTAGACTACGCAATCTTGCTTGTTTGGGTCAGCGGGGTCTTTTGGTCTCAGTGTGGTGTCGGATTTAAAGACGGTGCCTATTCCTTTTTGCTGTAGGTGGCGGCAGAGGGGTTCCAAAACTCTTTGAAGCATGGCACCACTGCGGTAGACTTAAATTCTGTTGTTTCCCTCTCGGGTGTTGGATTCCTGGTTTTGGTCACCTTCTGCAAGAAGGACGGAGGATAGCCGTTGGCGACGAGAACTGTGGATCTCCTGGGCTGTTCCGGATGGCTTGGTGATGATGCGTTTAGCTCGGCCATGTAAACACTTGACAATACCGCGTTTAAAAGATTGTGGGTGGTGCGAATCATAGGCGAGGTACTGGTCGGTGTGGGTGGGTTTTCTGTATACACTTGAGACCAGTTTACCGTCTGGTTCCCTTGTTACGAGGGTGTCGAGGAAGGCGGTCTTGTTGTTATTCTCAGTTTCCATGGTGAAGCGGATGGACGGGCGTTGTTGGTTGAGGTGGCTCCGAAAGTTATCCGCGTTGTGCTGTTTCATGACGGTGAACGTGTCATCTACATAGCGCTTTCATTTTCTCGGTGGTTTTGGGGCTGTAGCTAAGGTTTGTTCTTCGAAGGCTTCCATGTATAGGTCGGCAATTACGGCGGAAATAGGGCTGCCCATCGGTGCTCCATCTTGTTGCTCGTAGAGTGCTCCGTTGTACTTAAAGTATGTGGATCTCAGAACGAAATTTTAGAAGGTCTGCAATCTGGGTAGGTGTGAGCGCTGTGCGGTCTGGTAGGCTCGGATCGTTGTTGAGTTCATGTGACGCGGCCTGTGCTGTTTCTTCTATAGGGACGTTGGTGAACAGCGAATCGACGTCAAAGGACATCATTGGCATCTTGGAGTGGTAGCCGTTTCTGTGACTACAATCGCACAGCCTTGGTCTGCTGGTAGGATCATGATGGAATGGTCCTTTTTGAGACTTTTTAGCGCATTTCGCATTTCCGCTGTGATGTTAGGCTTGGGTGGTACGTCCTTTTGGAGTACGTTGTTCACGGTTCTTCGGACTGTGTCAGCTTGTTCCGTGTCGAGTGGTCTGATGGTTGTTTCTACCTTCGCGATTATTTCTGTGGTCCTGATGTTGGTCGGCGTGACGGCGAAGTTTAGTCCTTTCCTGAGCAGGGTAGTTTCTGCGTCGCTGAGTGTTCTGGAAGACAGGTTAATGACCCAGTTTGCTTGGTCAACTTTGGGTGTCGAGGTTAACTTGCTGGATGCTTTCTGTTCGAGGAGAAGTTTCTCGAAACTCTGCCGCTCCTTAGGATGACAACTGGTCGACCCCATCACCTGAAGAAGACTTGCAGTAAGCAGTCTAAACGTTGCGTTCCACATCAAGTGACCTTGTCGTGAGACAACAGAACAAACTTATATTATCAAGCTGTTAAAGGTTTTCTTTTCTTTTTGTTTTCGTGATGATGGAGATTTAAGACTTGAAAGAGAGGAAATTATCTTTTATTTTAAACTCAACTTTATGGCTCAAGGTGAGGCCTTACGACATTTAGACAACTCCTTTGACTGGTAAATGTTGTCTCCAGTGTTAATATGTCGTAAAGCAATTTTCAATAGTATATTTTTTTGTCAGAATCAAACAACTTTCACAATCTTCAACTAAACTTACGTTTGGTTCCGTCGCTGTAATTTCTTGTTGGGCGATTGAGTTTGCTGCCATACCAGTGCTGGATAAAGTCTTAAAAACACAGGAACCGGCCCCGGGTCCAGATGGGCCCTGGGTACCATTGAACCCAGATGGTCCACGAAGGCCCTGAACACCAGGTAATCCTGATGATCCTGCAGGGCCCTGAGTACCATTATATCCCGGAGGTCCGGGAGGTCCGGACAACTGCAATGATTCGCATTGTAACAATAACAATGATGGTCATGATGATCAGGATAACAGTGGTAGAAAAACTTAATAATAGCATCGTAGAAGAAGAGGAAAATGTAATTTAATTCTCACTTTTTCTTTAACCATAACATTTCAACTCGATGAATACATTGTTGACGTTTCGATAGCTTTTGAAACGTATACTTTGGGTGACTGGATCAAATTTTCTGATCAGTTGTTGTGTTATAGAACCAGGATATTCCAGAAAAGTTTCATGGTACGAGGGAAGTTATATTTATTTTTTTATTTTAATTTAATTAAAATTAATTCAAGAAAAATTTGTACAGAACTAAACTTACATTACTCTTCTTACATTACTCCCAGAAAAGTTTCATGGTATGAGGTAACTTATATTTATACTACCATGCGCTTTTTTACCATGTTAGGCTGGATTGGGGTAAATACGTTTTCCTTGCTTGTGTGTAGTTTTATTAAATCTCTCTTTCCTTGTCTCTTCCGATCGATTCAAAATGAATCATGATTTGTCTCAATTTAAAATGGCGCCGTTTACAATTTCTTAGAATTTGATTGGCAGTAATGTTATTGTACTAAGAGATCCAGAACTTGTCAACAACTTTATTCGAAACCTCCATAGTATGAATGAATTTTATCGATAATACGACGTGCTTGTTTACCATCTTGATGCATTAAGGTGCACTCGTTTTCCCTGATCAAGCGTAGTTATGCAAAATTTCTCACTTCCGCATTTCTGGATCAGATTTTCCTGTTCATGCGCAGTTATGCAAAATCTCTCTCTCCCGCATTTCTTTAGATCGAAAAAAAACTTAGACATCTTAAGAATCTCTATTAATAAAAGAGGTTTAAGTCTGCACTTGGGTTGAGTTTGAGATGCTTGGATAAAGTTTGTTTTTTTATTTCTAAATAGTTCTTGAAACTTTTGTATTAAGAAAAAAAATTGTTTGCAAAAATATTGTTTTGGACCCGACCCAGACTTTTTTTGCACCTTTCTTTTTAATGTTTTTAAAATTATGTATATTACTATTACATCACTATGGAGTGTCAATAATAAGGTTTTAACAATTAGGCGAGCGTCTACAACTTAAATGGTTTTTATTTCCCCTAAGGTAAATACACCATCAAGTGAAACTTGTGTGAAATTACAAAGTCTGGCCATCTAAGTTTTCCAGAAATTCGAAAAGAAAATTCAATAAATCTTTTGAAATTAACAGTACAATTGCTAAACTGAGAGTAGTTTGGCATAATTGAAGTCATCACTAGTATTATACCACCGGCGACAGAACTTTCACAGGCGTTATTAACATACGTTGTTATTGTTCGAACAAGCACTATTCTGGCGGCTGAGCCATCTTTTACCAAATCTTTTTTAGTTTTTATGCTTTGTGCATTTTCAATGGCGCAAAAAATACTTTGATTTCTTTCACGAACGCGGCAAGAAAGCGCCGCGAACATAGCAATTGCCTCTCGGTTTTATTGGCTGCTTTCATTTGTTTTTTCCAGCGTGCTAAAACACACGAACCGACAAAGTGATAATATTTAAATTCGTAGCATCGTCTCGATAAGCTTTCGCTCGATCAAAAATTGACTGTCGCTATACTGGAGAAAAAGAAAGAGATCCGATCAGGCGGGTTGTGACTTCACTAGAAGGACATGAGATATCTTAGAACACAGAAGGGAATGAGGTAGCTTGTATCTCAAGCTAAATCGACCGGACCGCTCTTACGAAGTCTTAAATACGTAAAAGTTTTTATCGATGATCAAAGGAATCATCGCTGACTTGGTCTTTTTTTCTTGGTGAATCATTGTTGGTTTCAGGAGATGATAACCACTAATCTAGTTTTAAGAGGCATTACAATACATCTGAGAGCTTTTGTATTTATTCGATCACTTCGATTAATGAAAAAACAAACAAAAAACGAACACAAAAACAAAATTGCTCTTACCGAATTTTTTTGTAGAGCCGAGAGGATCCTCTCCAACTCCTGAACCTTCTTTTCGATCTGCAACTTATCTGGCAGAGTAAATAGTTTAATACTTGTAAATGGAAAAAGAAGAAAAATGATTAAACGCAGAGGGTTTGATTTATTATATACCTGCATTTTATACAAATGACTATTTGTCAAACATTTTCTTTGTTTCGCTTTCATTCCTCGCATGTTTGAGATAGCAATAAAAAAAGGTCATTGATCATAATCCCATACATGTGATTTATCAATCCAAGAGTGATAGGTTTTTCAGTTACTTATTTTTCTCTTTTTGAATTGGCGTTTTGATTAAGAATAATTACTTTGTTTTTACAGCAATAGGCTTGATGTGCCACACTCGCGGATCGGAGTTGTGTGAGAGCAAACCAATTAACTGTTAAAGAGATATGTTTTTCAACGCTTAGTTGTCACAACTTGGCCTCATCTAAATATCAAATAATGCAGACATAATAGAATCGCCCATGTTGTTCATGATTACGACTAAGTACCATGATAGACGGATTACCCCTTGTAAGCAATGTCATTTTCTTAGACTTGAAATCCTATACTAATCATCAGTGCGGAGAAAGCTTTAGTAAATAAAGGTCAAATATTTCAAACTCTGTACGAAATTCTTCAAGAAGTTATTTTTTAATTTGGAGATGAAAATTTTATGCGAGAGTAGTTGGTTGATAAACTGGGCTTTTTACTAAAAAAAAGAACGTGGCTTTTATTAACCCAATTTCGTGTAATCTTAATAATAACAATACTCAAATCATATCGAAACGGAAATTCTGCCAATTGGTCGAGACTGAAGTAAATTATTGTTTGCTTTGTCGTGTCGTACACGTTTGACTAATGCCACTTTTAAAATTTCGATGAATCAAGACCTACGAGTGTTTACTTACAACAGGAAGAAGCAATGGTAGCCATACCTGTCGAAGCCTCGCTCCGTGCCGTCATGATTGCCACAGCTAAAACCAAAGTGGCAAGGGCTGTTAAGAGCGAAGCAACAGCGATGGCAGATGGGATAAAGAATAATGGTTTATGCTTCACTGTATCAGAATCTTTATACGGCTGTGTTTCTACGTTTGGTTTTGCCTGTGGAGTGTCCTTTCTGAAAACTACATCGTCATAGGTTTCGGCGTTATCTTCCTGTTTAGATTCCATTTCGAAATAAATGTTCTCCCGCCCGACCTCGATCTTAGTATCCATCATTGGGTGGTATGATTGTGCCGTTTATGAAACAGATCAACTTTAGACTCTTCTTGGGGCGAAACATGCTTAGGCAGACCAAAGAGATGCTGATCATACGACCATCTCTGATTGATAGGATAATGACAGGAAGTATTTGTTTCGACGTAAGTTTATAGATTGCGCAATAAAAGATTGAACTGACCTTAAATGATGATGAAAGCATTATTGAACAAAATGATTATGCTGTCTTGATTTTGATCCAGGTTATCACTTTCGACCCCACTTTCCAGTGTACAGTGAGATATTCAGGTAGAAGCAAATGAGGTATAGAGGGTTTTGTCTTGATGTTTTAGTCTTCGATGGGCTGAGGTCAAACCAAAATTAGATTTTCTTGTCTTTAATGATCCACTGGTTTCGTATAAGCCATCTTCGATTGCATTTCATGAAAAGGTAATTTGAGAGGTGGCATGGATCCTTTTCCGAAATTACTACTTTTAATTTCACATTAATGCTATGAAGGCGTTGAGAAGGATGAGAAAGGAAATATATTTAGAAACTCTTCAAAAGCAAGATACTAGAGCCATTTTTTCAACATTGTTTTCATAGTCCCATCAATCACACAAATCCTTACCTACATTTGTCGGAATTCTTTTTTTTCCTTTTTTTGTTAGCACAATGCAATATTAGGCAATTTCAAATGCAGTCAACTGTGTTTGCTCTCATATTAAGCATTATTTGAATTTCTTAAGCTGGGCTACCCTATTTTTTTTTTGCGGATTGGAGGGTGGGAGGGGGGGGGGGGGTTGTGGAATTCGTTAAAAACCCACCCAATCCATTTCACTCGGTCGGAAGAAGGGAAGCCATTTTTACCACTTCATGAAGTTTCTCAGTCCTAGAGGGTTTCACTGAGCATTATGAAATGAACATTGTTCAAGACTGTCAGTTCATCGAGTTCAATAGAGCACAACTAAAGTCCTTACTGTTGCCCTATTGTTAATTGATTACTTTATGAATTTGAATCATAGAAATAAAACGTCATCTTCGTTCGACTAAAAAACCAATGTTTTGTTCACTAAAGTGACTATGATTCCCAAGAAATGTGTGAGCCGTGTAAAATAATACGACCATTACATACTAGATGAAAAACATACACAAAAGTTAAGTTAAAATTTTATTTTTTCACATCAGGTTACCTTTAGGAGCCATATTTCCGACAGTTATAATATGTCAGTAGCTTAAGTCGCGGCGATTTTAGGTGTTATCCACTTGTGGTTGTTAGTACTCCGTTTTAACTTGATGTACTAACAAATACTCTTTCGTCCGTTTAGTGCAAAATATAATGTGAAACAAAATATTTTTGGAAGCTATCCTAAGGGACTGAAGTCTATATTTAGCATTGATAAAAAACATAAGTGCTGATTTAAGTATATGAAAGTAACAGTTCGTAGTAAAACTGAGAGGTTTTCTGGGTAACATGGCCACTTACTTTCACACAAATTTCTTTCACTCTCATCCTTAACGCTGACTATCTCATCGAAACTCTTGTTTTACTTCCATATACTTTCATTTTAAGTGATATTTTGGATTTCTTATACTAAAAATTTGATGCAGCCAGGGACAACTTCTCGAAATCGATTTTACGCAAGAAATTGATCACGATTGAATAATGGATACATGGTATAACAAGGGCGTAGCTGGGGGATTTCCCTACAGTTCTTAGGTCCGGCAGGTCCAACGTCACCATTAGAACCGTTGACTCCAAGTGGTCCTCTAACGCTCGTGCTGCTAGTAGTATTTTTCACCTACTCAATTAAAAAAAAAAGCAACAACAACAATAATATTCGCAGTAACCATTACAATGATGATAACAATGAAAATGATGACAATTGTAACGACAATGCTAATTGACAGTGACAGAGAAAGTGACAGTGACAGTGAAAGTGAAAGTGACAGTGACAGAGAAAGTTATAGTGTCAATGACAATGAAAATGAAAGTGACAGTGACAGTAACAGTAACAGTGAAAGTCACAGTAACAGTAACAGCGACAGTGACAGTGACAGTGACAGTGACAGTGACAGTGACAGTGACAGTGACAGTGACAGTGACAGTGACAGTGACAGTGACAGTGACAGTGACAGTGACAGTGACAGTGACAGTGACAGTGACAGTGACAGTGACAATGACAGTGAAAGTGAAAATGAAAGTGAAAGTGAAAGTGAAAGGTCAGTCAGAGGTTGATTCGAAATTCGGTACGAAATGGCACACAATAATACATTCAAGTATATGTACCTTTTGATCCAGTTGCATGATTCTTTGTTGAAAATGCAGAAACATCTCATTTACGCTTGTATTCAGATCCTGTACTACGAGACGGATATCCTCTACCTCTGTATTTTTGCCCTAAAAAAATAAAACGGGCCAAATTATTGTGTTAGAGAATTAGTGGAATTAATGCAGAGAGGTTCCTCTCCAACTCTTGCATATTCTTTTGAAGTTCTGACGTTTCTAGAAAAGGGGAGACAATAAGAGAAACATAGAAAATGTAAAAAAAGTGAATTGAATCAAAATAGTGTAACAATTTTGAAATAAAAAAAGTATCATCAGCTTTCGAAAATTCTCATGGAAAAAAATATCTTGAACTATTAATTAAATGCTGCATTCAGTAAATTTCTGAGGCATACAATTGAAGAAACTAGAGTAATTGAAGCTGATCGATTGTGGAATGCGTACGGACACGTTTCGGCCGGTTAATCACCACATTTTCTTTCACTTTCGAAGTATGTTACTATTTCAGTCAAAGTGACAATTGGCGGCAATATATAATAAGCTGAGGCTGGGTTTAAATGTAGGAACATATTCGGAGATATTTTCACTGATCTAATCCTTATGTTGGCCTTTTTTTATGATCCAGGCCTGTTTGTAAATGGATACTGTAAAGGATATCGACGACTCAAAGCGAGTAAATTACCCCACGTAGACTAATCTATTTCACTAATCCAAAGCGGCAATGTCCGAATTATACTTTCTATTAGCACTAATTATATATTTTGTTCAAATAGGAACGATGATGGTGAGGTTCTCCCTACGCAGGCGGAGATGGCGATAATTTTGATCACGGGGTGATGTGAATGGGAAGATGGTTGATCCTCGCTCGAAAAAGGATGTCTAGGCTGGCACCCTCTCTGCTTTGCCGTTGCTAGCGTTTCATCTTGTCCCCCTCCACGCCTCCTTTCTTTTTTTTTTTTTTTTTTTTTTTTCCACACTACACATTTTGTGTTAAGATTACATTTCTCAGCTTAATGAAGTCTTTGTCCACGTTAAAGACGGGCCGGGAGAGATTAAGCTACAATGGATTTAACATGCGCAAACCTTAAGTCATAACCCTTTGTTTTTCTTGTGAGATATTTCAAAACAAATAAATCTCGTGACTATTTGTCGAACATTTTCTTTGTTTCGCTTTCATCCCTCGCGTGTTTGAGATAGCAATAAATATTGCCATTGCTTACAATCCCATACATGTGATTTATCAACCCAAGAGAGATGGGGTTTTCAGTTATTTATTTTTCTCTTTTTAAACTAGCGTTTCGATCAAGAATAATTAAATGTGTTTTTACAGCAATATGCTGGATGTGCCACACTCGCGGATCGGAGTTGTGTGAGCAAACGAATTTACTGTTAAAGAGATATGCTTTTCAACGCTCAGTTGTCACAACTTAGCCTCATCTAAATATCAAATCATGCAGACATAATGGAATTGCCCATGTTGTTCATGATTACGACTAAGAACCATAGACGGATTGCCCCTTGTAAGCAATGTCATTTTCCTAGACTTAAAATCCTATACTAATCATCAAAAAGCTCTAGTAAATAAAAGTCAAATATTCCAAACTCTGTACTAAATTCTTCAAGAAGTAATTTTTTAATTGGAGATGAAAATTTTATGCGAGAGTAGTTGGTTGATAACTTGGGCTTTTAACTAAAAAAAGAACGTGGCTTTTATTAACCCAGTTTCGTGGAATCTTAATAAAAAAATATTCGAATCATATCAAAACATAAGTTCCGCTAATTTTCTCTTCAGACAGGATATTAAATGGTCCAGACCGAAGTAAATTATTGTTTGCTTTATCGTGTCGTACGCGTTTGACTAATGCCATTTTTAAAATTTCGATAAATCAAGACCTACTAGTGTTTACTTACAACAGGAAGGAGCAATGGCAACCATACCTGTTGAAACCGCGCTCCGTGCCGTCATGATTGCCACAGCTAAAGTCAAAGTTGCAAGGGCTATTAAGAGCGAAGCAACAGCGATGACAGATGCGATTAAGAATAATGGGTTATGCTTCACTGTATCAGAATCTTTATACGGCTGTGTTTCCACGTTTGGTTTTGCCTATGGAGTGTCCTTTCTGAAAACTACACTGTCATAGGTAACGGCGTTATCTTCCTGTTTAGATTCCATTTCGAAATAAATGTTCTCCTGCCCGATCTCGATCTTAGTATCCATCGTTAGGTGGTATGATTGTGCCGTTTGTGAAACAGATCAACTTTAGACTCTTCTTGGGGCGAAAGATGCTTAGGCAGACCAAAGAGATGCTGAAATGCGATGCGATATGATCATATGATCATCTCTGATTGACGAGAATTGGAAAGGAGAAGGAATGGAATTTGTTTCAACGTAAGGCTATAGATTGTGTAATAAAAGATTGAACTGACCATAAATGATGATGAAAGCATTATTGAACAGAATGATTATGCTTTCTTGATTTTGATCCAGGTTATCACTATCGACCCCACTTTCCAGTGTACAGCGGGATATCAACACAGGGCGAAATCACATGTTTCCGTATTTCTGAAACGTGGCGGAAACATGCAACTCCATGTTTCCGTTATGTTTACGTAAAAGTGGTCCGGTTCCGTTGTATACGCATCAACGGAAACGCGAGAAAACGTCACGAAACCGGTAACGGAAACATAGGTTATCCGTCGTGTTTCCGGAACGGTTTAACATGTTTCTGCCACGTTTCCGTTTACGGATTCTTGCAATTTCGTCCTGTGCAAGGTAGAAGCAAGTGAGGTATAGAAGGTTTCGTCTTGATGGAGAGAGGAGGGGGTGTGGTTTCTCAGTCCCAGAGGGTTCCACTGAGCATTATGAGTGAAACATCGTTCAAGAAATTGATCACGATTAAATAATGGATATACCTTATAACAATACTTATAACAGGACTTCCCTGGGGTTCTTAGGTACGCGTGTCCCCCCCCCCCCCCCCGCCTTTGTTTTAAGTTATAATAAACAGAACGTGCGGCGTGAAGGTCGATATGACTCTGGTGAGTACCCTTTGTTTGACGCTGTGAGCCTTTTTTGAAAAATCCCGGTTACGCCCCTGTTTCATGCATGGACAAAGTCTCTACGGGAAAAGACTCAAGATAATTCTTTGCTGTATTGATCGAGTGGTAAGAAGGTAAATAAAGCAAGGGCAAAAACGACGGGCGCGAAAGTTACTGGTGAATAAGAAACTGAGTTTCTGATTGAAGAAATCATGTACACCTCTGAATGAGTATGGATGACAGTAAAGTCTCAGCCTATTCAATTATAGATATTTTTGGATTGTTACTTCGACATCTGGTAAAGTAAACACAATGTCGCTAAATAGGGTGATTTCCAACTGAGTGTGGAAAGTAATGCTACTTTGTTTTGGTTTTGCCTTACTTCGCAATATGATTGGTGTAGAACTGAAACTCACACCATACTTTAAATCAGCCAGATTGAAAACTAAATCCAATCGCGATCTTGGTTTATTGCCTTTGACTTTCCTTTGATTTTGGTTTTACAACACTCAACTGAAATGCCCTCTAAAAGAAACTTAGTTCACTGGGCATATTTGAAAAATAGAATTAACATTAAACCACTAAATTGTTCTTCGTCTCGTTTCTGAATCAACACTGTATTATCTTCTTTACATTTCTCCTGTTCATTACATGGCTTTCCGTTTTTCCCTTTTATGACTGACACTCCCAGTAGTGAATGTAGCAATACATCGTTGGTTCTCCAGTTGTAAGGGTACCTTCGCAAGTGCACTTGTAGGTTGTCTTTCCACCTGAGTTGACGCTTGATAATTTATCAACTTTCGCGTCGTTTGTATCACAGTTGACGCCAATAAAGATTTTACCCTGGCAGGAAAAAAGATAATAAATATGATACTGATGATAGTGAAAAACTACGTCAAGAATTCGAAATGTGGAAGAGTAAGACATTTCTTTCCTCTTCAATGGGCGTACACACGAAGTCGCGAAAGCCAACACCTACAATCTGGGCAATTCTTACTTTGAGTTTTTTATGCCGAAATCGGATATCACAAATACAGCCTACACGTCTAGGAACGTAAGAAGAGAAAAATCCACTTATTTCTAACACTGGCCTTTAAATGTACACTGGACAACTAGTTCCCTCAGCGGGCAGGTCGTTCTTGTAAAATTGATTTTCGTTGTCTCTCATAAGGCAAGATACAGAGTCATAAAACCGGGCCTAACGAATATTTTGAAAAACTGATATTTGCAAACATTTTTTGTTCCATGACAAGCCGAGAATGTCATCGCTCCGTGTGGGATTAAAGAAATAACTGTAAATACACTGAAAGGTATGAAATTGTCAATATAAATAAAAAATAAATCAATATTAAAAAAAAACTTAAAAGAGAGGAAATTAGCTTTGATTCTCAAAATCGTTGCGGCCTATGGCTCAACTTTCTGACTTTAAGGGAGGCTTTAGGACATTTGGATAACTCCTTGGACCGGTAAATATTGTCATAAGTGTCAATATTTCGTAAAGTAATTTTCAATAAGATAGTTATTTTATATTAAAGTTCACACGGCAACCAGGTGGACAATCAGACATAGTTTGACAGCAATGACAGCAGAGACGGGCGAACCCATCGCTGTACCAAAAACTTGTTGATAGTATGTGCCGTTATATGTAAATTGCGTGGTTTTGAGGCAAAAAGACAGCAGATGAATAATATCCTCCACAGGCAAAGAAGTTCTTTGTCCTAGGGAAGCATCTTCTCTGAGTCTTTCCTCCGCAACCTTAACGGCAAGATCAACTGGGATTTTGGTGAAGAGCGAAACAACGTCGAAAGATACTAATTCTTCACAAGCGTCAAGAGTTTTATCTCTTATGAAATCCGCAAATTCGCAGGAATTTTTTTGCTAACATGGTAATGGAAGACGTGGAACAAAGGGCCTTAGCCATTTCACCGGTTAAACCCTTTTTCTGGAAACGATATGTCGATGATGCTATTTCTGCGGTATCCGGAAATGAAGCGGAGCGCCTCTTGTCGCATTTGAATTCAGTAGAGCCGTTGATCCATTTCACCCTTGAGCAAAAGGATAGATGGATAGAAATTTGCTCTTTCTTGATTTAAATGTGTCCAGAGGGGTTCAGGGTAATTTAGAGACAAGTGTCTACCGTAAACCTACCCACACCGACAAATACCTCGCTTTCGATTCTCACCACCCTATTTGCCATAAAAAGTCTGTAGCCAAAACTTTACTTAGGAGGGCTGACTGTCTACCATCTTCACTCGATTCGAAGGCTGAAGAGAGGAAATATGTTTCCAATGTCCTAAAGGCAAATAGCTATACTTTTCTCCGTAACTGCCAAAAACCAGTTACAAATAGTAACGCTCTTGATGAAAGGGAACCAGCGACTGGTTTTGCTGTTATTCCTTACATACAGGGTGTTACTGAATCCATCAAGAGAATTTTGAATAGCCACAACGTTAAAGTTGCTCAAAAACCTTTTCAGACTTTGGGGCATATTTTCGCCAAACCTAAGGATCCTGTCACGAAAGAACAACGAACCGACGCCATTTATTCTATTCCTTGCAATGACTGTGACAACGAATACATCGGACAGACCAAACGTCAGTTTGGTACACGGTTAAAAGAGCACCAAAAAGCGGTTTTTCTTTTCAAAAAGGAAAATTCAGCTTTATCGGAGCATACATGCCTAACCAACCATACAATTGGGTGGGATAATTCTAAAATTATCACCACTAATCGGCGTTACCACCAGCGCCTTTGTTTGGAGGCTTGGCATATTAACTCCGCCCACGCTCCTTTAAATCGTGATGATGGCGGTTTGCTTCCTGACGCCTATTTACACCTCGTCAGAAAAAAGGCCGCTAATTAGTGATCATATAAAAGGACCTCTTGTTGCAGCGTTTAGATCACCCCTGATGAAGGCACTAGACAGGAGTGTCGAAACGTTGGGTCTATGAATTGTAACTTCTTCGGTTACATTCATTAAATCTGCTAACCAGAGTAGCATTAAACTATGTAAGATAGTTATTTTCTTGTCAGAATCAAACAGAATCAAACTGAAACAACTTTCACAATCTTCAACTCAACATACGTTTTGTTCCGTCGCTGTAATTTCTTGTTGGGCGATCGAGGCTGCTGACATGCCAAGGCTAGATAAAGTCTTAAAAACACAGGAAATGGCCCCGGGTCCAGGTGGACCCTGGGTACCATTGAACCCAGATGGCCCACGAAGACCCTGAAAACCAGGTAGTCCAGACGGTCCTGCAGGGCCCTGAGTACCATTATATCCCGGAGGTCCGGGAGGTCCGGGAGGTCCTGGAGGTCCGGCAGGTCCGGCAGGTCCAACGTCACCATTAGTAACGTTGACTCTAGGTGGTCCTCTGACGCTCGTGTTGCCAGTAGTATTTTTCACCTACTCAATTAAAAAAAAGCAGCAACAACAATGATATTCACAATAACCACTACAATGATGATAACAATGACAATTGTAATGACAATGCCAATTGCCGCAATTTCAATGAAAATGATAGTGACAGAGAAAGTGACAGTGACAGTGAGAGTGAAAGTGAAGGTGACTCAGAAAGTGACAGTGTCAATGACAATGAAAGTGACAGTGTCAATGACAATGAAAGTGACAGTGTCAATGACAATGAAAGTGACAGTGTCAATGATAATGAAAATGAAAGTGACAGTGACAGTGACAGTGACAGTGACAGTGACAGTGACAGTGAAAATGAAAGTGAAAATGAAAGGTCAGTCAGAGGTTGATTCGAAATTCGGTACGAAATGGCACCCAAAAATACATTCAGGTATATGTACCTTTTGATCCAGTTGCATGATTCTTTGTTGAAAATGCAGAAACTTTTTATTTACGCTTGTGTTCAGACCAGTCAAAGTTTGGGCAGCATCCTGTACTGCGAGACGGATATCCTCTAGCTCTGTATTTTTGCCCTAAAAAATGGAATGGGCCAAATTATTGTGTTTGAGAATTAGTGGGCCTACTAAAGTTGGTGAAATAAGTAGAGCAGTCCTCGTTTTGCTTTTGAACATAATGATAAGGACTGTAACAGTGAGAGATTCAGATAACGATACATTCGTAATGTTAATGTTGAAACTGACCTCGTTTTTCATGTTTTCCATTTCTTTTTCCATCTACCATAAAGTAAGAAACTCATATTTAACTAAGTGCACTTATAGTAATTTTTTTTCCTAATATAGATGGAACTGGAAATAGATGAATTTAAACTTGCCTTTATCGCTAGCTCCTTCAACTCTGCTGAGACCTAAGATAAGAAAAGAAAAGAAACTACTCAACATCATATCATTTTTTTAGTGAATGGTTTATTGTTATTGATGATTTACGATCATTATCATTATTGTCATTATTAAGATTGAGATGATCATTACGATTATTAATGGAGGTGAATGAATGGCTTACTTACGTTTTTCTTCAGTTCTATTACATCCCCTGAAACCTATAACAATAAAAAAATGCAATATTCCTTGTCAAGTTTCTTTGTAGAATAATGCTTTCTTCTCATTTCTTATTTATAATGATTTAATGACGATGATGACTATATAGGAGTGCAATTTGCATGATAAGGTTCGCACCTGCTATGCTTCCAAAGATGGTTCAAAAAATTAGGAGAACACTGATAATGTCTGTGATAATGACACTTAAGATGACCTATAGTAATGTTTATTATGCTCCCCCAGGCACACAACAGTCTAGGATAAGAAATAAATCTAGATCACCACATTGAAGAAGTTAAAGCAGAAGAAATGCAGTATTGTTAACACAAAAACGATGCCTCCAGCCTGCGCTCCAGGGAATTATTAAAGCTCTGTTTAAGATATGTATATTTCTGTACCATTACTAACTATCAGGGAGTTAAAAGTCCTGTTGGGGCCTTTAGTCTTATGTACATACATGTACCCATGTATTTCACATCAGTACACTTTTGCTTTTAACTGACCACTGCTAATGATTAAGAATTACTCCTACCGAGTAATCTCTTAATGCAGAGAGGTTCCTCTCCAATTCTTGCATATTCTTTTGAAGTTCTGACGTTTCTAGAAAAGGGGAGACAGTAAGAAAAACATAGAAAATATAAACAATTAACTATATTAAAATATAAACAGGATTTCAAACGAAAAGATGAGCAGATGGATAAATAGATAAAAGATGAATCAATAAACACATGTTGAAGCTTCATACATCCCTTAGTGAAATCTTTCGATTTGCAGATTTTGAAACCATTCATCAAAATCTTTCGAATAAAAAAGGGGGAAATAAGACATACTATTCTTGAACTAGTGCAAACAATCACTATCAAGAGTAATAGCTATTCAACTATCAAAAATATGGTAAGTAAGGCTTTCTTTCCTGCTTGTTATAGATAAAGATTTTTTTAATATTGTTCATCATTCGTAAGGAAGACGGTACATTGTATGACTCTTTTTTAACAGCTTTACATTTACGAGAAATTATGTCGAAATTGAGAAGTAAAAGAACACTACGATCTGGACTTGGAAAAGAGTCGATTATGGCTCGCAGCATTTTACGTTCCTTCGAATTTGACAGAAACAGAATTCTGTTTTTTCTAAGGAACCTTTGATTACCATTTACAATTCAATGACTCGGAGCGTTTGCGTCATTTACAATGTCTTCGGCCTTTGCATACTACATGACGCTAACTTTGTTATCTGCAAGAGGAATTTCCTACCCCCAGTAACCTCAAATGAAATCAAAATAAAGGAAAGTTGTTCATTTCTATACTCTAATTGTTGAATTAAAATGATGTAACACAATTTTCAAATAAAAAAAAAAGCATCATTAGCCTTCGAAAAATCTCTTGGACTATTAATTAAATGCTGCATTCGGTTAATTTTTAGGCATATAATTAAAGAAACTTGGGTAATTGAAGCTGATCGATTGTGGAATGTGTGCGGAAACGTTTTGGCCGGTTAATCACCACATTTTCTTTCACTTTCGAAGTATGTTGCTATTTCAGTCAAAGTGACAATTTGCGGCAATATATAATAAGCTGAGGTTGGGTTTTAACGTAAGAACACATTCGGAGATATTTTGACTGAAATAACCCTCATGTTGGTCTTTTTTTTATGGTCCAGGCCTGTTTGTAAATGGATACTGTGAAGGATATGGACAACTCAAAGCGAATAAATCGCCCCGCGTAGACTAATCTATTTCGCTAATCCAAAGCGTCAATGTCCAAATTACACTTTCTGTTAGCACTAATTATATATTTTGTTCAGATAGGAAGGATGATGGTGAGGTTCTCCCTACGCAGGCGGAGATGACGATGATTTTGATCACGGGGTGATGTGAATGCAAAGATGGTTGATCCTCGCTCGAAACAGTATGTCTACACGCAGACACGGGATTGCCGGATGTAAGCCAGGCTAAGAGCTGGCACCCTCTCTGCTTTGCCGTTGCTGGCGTTTCTGCTTCTCCTCCTCCACGCGTTTGTGTTAAGATTACATTTCTCAGCGTAATAAAGTCTTTGTCCACGTTAAAGACGGGCCCGGTCAGTCAGTCAGTCAGAACCCTTTGTTTTCCTTGTGTGATATTTCAAAACAAATATAATCTCATGACTATTTTTCGAACATTTTCTTTGTTTCGCTTTCATCCCTCGCGTGTTTGAGCTAGCAATAAATAAGGCCAGTGCTCACAATCCCATAAATGTGATTTATCAATCCAAGAGTTTTTCAGTTATTTATTTTTCTCTTTTTAAATTGGCGTTTCGATCAAGAATAATTAATGTGTTTTTACAGTAATATGCTTCATCCTAGTTGTGTGAGAGCAAACGAATTTACTGTTAAAGAGATATGCTTTTCAACACTCAGTTGTCACAACTTAGCCTCATCTAAATATAAAATCATGCAGACATAATAGAATTGCCCATGTTGTTCATGATTACGACTAAGTACCATGATAGACGGATTTCCCCTTGTAAGCAATGTCATTTTCTTAGACTTGAAATCCTATACTAATCATCAGTGCGGAGAAAGCTCTAGTAACCAAAGGTCAAATATTTCAAACTCTGTACGAATTCTTCAAGAAGTAATTTTTTAATTGGAGATGAAAGTTTTATGCGATAGCAGTTGGTTGATAAATTGGGCTTTTTACTAAAGAAAGAATGTGGCTTTTATTGACCCAATTTCGTGGAATCTTCATAAAAATATTCAAATCATATCGAAACATAAGTTCTGTTAATTTTCTCTTCGGACAGGAAAATAAATGGTCGAGACCGAAGTAAATTATTGTTTGCTTTATCGTGTCGTACACTAATGCCACTTTTAAAATTTCAATGAATCAAGACATACGAGTGTTTACTTACAACATGAAGGAGCAATGGCAACCATACCTGTTGAAACCTCGCTCCGTGCCGTCATGATTGCCACAGCTAAAACCAAAGTGGCAAGGGCTGTTAAGAGCGAAGCAACAGCGATGACAGATGCGATAAAGAATAATGGGTTATGCTTCACTGTATCAGAATCTTTATACGGCTGTGTTTCCACGTTTAGTTTCGCCTGTGGAGTGTCCTTTCTGAAAACTACATCGTCATAGGTTTCGGCGTTATCTTCCTGTTTAGACTCCATTTCCAAACAAATGTTCTCCTGCCCGATCTCGATCTTAGTATCCATCATTGAGTGGTATGATTGTGCCGTTTGTGAAACAGATCAACTCTAGACTCTTCTTGGGGCGAAATATGCTTAGGCAGACCAAAGAGATGCTGAAATGCGATGCGATATGATCATATGATCATCTCTGATTGATGAGAATAGGAAAAGCTGAAAATAGGATATTGACAGGAAGGAAGTATTTGTTTCAACGTAAGGCTATAGATTGGGCAATAAAAGATTGAACTGACCACAAATGATGATGAAAGCAGTATTGAACAAAATGATTATGCTGTCTTGATTTTGATCCATGGTATCACTACCGACCCCACTTTCCCGTGTACAGTGATATATCAAGGTCAAAGCAAACGGGGTATAGAGGGTTTTGTCTTGATGTTTTAGTCTTCGATGGGCTGAAGTCAAACCTAAATTAAAATTGTCTCAACTTAAATGATCCACTGGCTTCGTATAAGCCACCTTTGATTGCATTTAATGCTAGGGTAATTTGAGAGGTGGCATGGATCATTTTCCTAAATAGCTACTTTAAAGGCGTTGAAAAGGGTGAGAAAGAAAATATTCCAAAACTCTTCCAAAGCAAGATACTGTAACCATTTTTTTCAATATTTTATAGTCCCATCAATTACACAAATCCTTACCTA